AGCCAGGAACCTGCAGGAGGCCATCGCTTCTCGGCCTTTTGGCTAAGATCAAGTGTAGTATCTGTTCTTACAGAGAAGCAAAATGGCGACTGCGTCAGCCAGCTATGGGGAGGAGACTGACAGAGGGAGCGGTACAAAGAATACGCTACGTTTTGATCTGATCGATAAAGACACCACCTTCCAGGACCGGATAACTTTCGGGAGAAGAGTCTTATTTGACATCCTCAACATACAGCCAGAGGAGATCTACTGCCTACAGCAGAGCACAGCTAAGAAATATTATGATGAGAGAGAGCGGAAGACATGAGACGGAAGGCTAATATAACGATAAATGAAGACCTAAAAAGATATGCGGTGACCCCCTTGTACAGACGTGATTACAGAATTTTAACTGTACACATGTACAATCCATGGGTATCGGAAGAGACGATAAGGTGTTTACTGGGGAGGCACGTGAAACGTGTTACCAGGTGTAAGAATAATAAAAGATGGACTGGGCATATGGACGGGTAAGAGACAATTTCGGATAAAATTGGAAGAGGACTTAAACAGTGAGGATGGCTTTCGACACCCGCCTGCGGTTTTCTCCATCGGAGCTGATAGAGGATTCCTTATCTATGCGGTTCAACCCTTGTGCTGCAGGAAATGCGGCGGCAATGGACACGACGCTGAATATTGTGACCAGGTGAGATGCCGAAGCTGCAATAGTATGGGCCACAGTACAAGAGACTGTACAGAACCAAAGAGGTGTCATTTATGTGAGTCCGAAGAACATATGGCACGAGATTGCACGAAGCCCAGACCCTATGCGGCTGTAGTAAAGGGGTTTCTGGGGCAAGATAAGAAAAGCAGAAATGAAGCCGCGAGAGCACCTGTGATGGATTTGGAATTATCGACAGGTGAAGAGAATAAGATTGACGAGACAGAGGAGGAGGTAGAGAAAATGACGAGGGGCCCCCTACAGGAGGCCGAGAGGAGTAACGAGGATGGAGGAGAAGGAAAGAGTGAGGACACAGAGCCCACAGAGCAGCCTTGGAAAGTGGTCAAGAGAATAGGGAGGAAAACTGCAAAAAGAAGGAGAAGATGGGATCCGACCACTCCCCCGGAAGACGGAGATGGGAAGGAGGCAGGGGCGGAGCCTTCGACCGGCGAGGCGGAAGGACACGCACCGAAAGGGACTCAAACAGAGTGTATGCACACTCCCTTGAGCGTTACGACGAGCGAAATTGAAATGGAGGATGGAAGCGAGACTGAAGGTAATTCAGATAAATTGACCATACGAACATTATTTTCCCAAGAAAGCTTGGGGAAGCAGTCTACATCATGAATGGCAAAACAGAGGGAAAGAAGGGCTATGCCTGCACCTATTTTTTGGCACAGGCTCCTTTGGCCCTGTTTGGGTCCTATTTTTGGTGTTTTGCCATTGCCCGGGTCAGTGAGCAAGGTTTCGGAAACTGGTCCTTTTTTCTCTTTTCATCAGTCAAATGGGTGAAATGAAAATAATGTCTTATAATTATAATAATGACTATAAATGTTAGAGGTTTGAGAAATTCTCGGAAAAGAAGAGCGCTGTACGAATTTTTGACAGCGTGTGACTTTGATATATGCCTGGTCCAGGAAGTGCATCTAAGAGATGAAGACGATGTAACCCTTTATACTAAGGAGTGGGGAGGAGGTGAAGCAGCATGGAGCGTGGGGAGTGTACATGGATCAGGGGTGGGAGTTTTGTGATGGAAAAGAAGTATTCAAATTATGGACACCTTTTCTGTAATACAGGGTAGGGTCTTGGTGGTGGATTTTAAAAAGGTTGGAATACAACGTTGTGTGGTAAATATATATGCACACGCAGAACCACAAGCCCGTAGAGAACTCTTTTCTAGCCTGAATATCTGTTTTATGACAAGTAATGTAATCTATGTGGGCGGTGACTTAAACTGCTCTTTAGATAAGAACGATGGTTCTCTTCCACTCAGGAACCTTATGGTAAAGTATAGGTTAGTAGATACTATGGGAAAGCCATTAGGCAACCGTCCGACCCATACGTGGGGGAAAAAAAAAAAGAGAAATAGGCTAGACTACATACTAGTAGGAGATACAGAAAAGGTAATTGAAACAGGGTCCCTCTACGCGCCCTTTACTGATCACAACGTAGTGTGGGCGAAGGTGGAATGTGAGGGGACAGCATATGGAAAAGGATATTGGAAATTAAATAATGACATCTTGTTAGAACAGGAATATAGGGCAAGTTTCAGAGGGATCTTCCAACATTGGGTGGAACTGAAATGTCTGTATGTGGATAGAGGGAGCTGGTGGGAGGAAATGAAAAAAAGAATAAAGAAATTTTCAATTGAATACAGTATGCGGATAGCACAGGCCTCAAAGAAGGTCTTTAAGGTTTTGCAGAGGGAAATTGCAAAAGAGGAAGGGGATAGGAACAGAAATAGACATAGGGATAGAAGTGAGAAATTGAATGTTTTATTGAAAAAACAAGAAGATTTTTTTCAACAGAGAGCAAGGACAAGGATGTTTAAGTTTATGCAGGAGGAGTATGAGGGTCAAGAGAAGTGTTCGGCTTATTTTTTTTGCCCAAATGAAAATGAGGGAAGAAAGAGGACTAATAAAAGAATTGGAGAAAGATGGGAAGATGATTACGGGTTCTGAGAATTTACGGAAAGTAGTAGAAGAGTACTACACGCGGTTGTTTGAAAAGGAAGAGTTGGATAAAAATGCGCAGGGGATTTTTTTGAGGGGATTAGGGGAAAGGTTACCGGAGGAAGAAACAAAATCCATGGATAGATGTATAAATAAGAATTAATTATATGAAGCCTTGAAGACAATGAAAAATAACAAAGTACCTGGAATAGATGGTCTCTCGAAAGAGTTTTATGTTACTTTCTGGAACCTTATCGGGGACCATTTGCTAGAAGTATTTAATGAAATGCGTGAAAAGGGCTATATGTTGAAAAGTATGAGGACGGGGGTGATTAGTTTATTGTTTAAGAAAGGCTCACCAGCAATGCTTTCCAATTATAGACCTTTGTCTATAGTCTGTGTGGATTATAAAATCCTGAGCAGAGCTTTAGCGTTACGCTTGGCCCAGGCTATGCCGTTTATTATAAATGAGGACTAGACCTGTGGAGTAAAGGGTAGACAGATTGCATTTGCACAGGGATGTGCTTTCGTATATAGAGGACAGGAATTTAGACTCCACATGTGTAACAATTGACCAAGAAAAAGCCTTTGACAGAGTCAATTATGATTTTCTATGGAGGGTGATGACGACTTTCAATATAGGGGAAAAATGCCTGAGCTGGATAAAAATGATGTATGTTGACATTTGTGGCAAGGTGAAAGTAAATGGCTTTCTGACAGATGAGGTGTATCAGCAAAGAGGACTTAGACAAGGTTGTCCCTTGTCTGCCTTGCTTTACATTATCTATGTCGAACCATTAGCAAGTGCGATAAGGGGAAATCAGAAAATTAGAGGGGTAGCCTTACCAGGGGGAGAAGTGTTAAAAATCTCCCAGTATGCTGATGACATTACCCTTTATTTGGGGGATGATGGGAGTGTGAGGGAGACGATGCAGTTAATACATACTTTTGAAAGGGCGGCAGGGTCAAGGGTGAATAAGGAAAAAACAAAATAGAAATTTCTGGGAAGGTGGGCAGGCAGAAGGGAGAGGCTTTGCGGGCTTTCCCTTTGTGAAAGCCCCATGCGGGTCTTAGGCATTAATTTCGGGAATCCTGGGGGAGAGGCAGAACAGAATTGGGAGTCTAAAATGGCAAAAGTGAGGAGGAAATTGGGGATGTGGAAGAAAAGAAGGCTCTCCATAACCGGCAGAGTTCTGGTCATGAAAGCCGACATCCTGCCTTCCCTACTTCATTTGGCACATGTTTTTCCATTACCACAAATGTTTAGGAAGGAACTAACACGGGAAGTGATCAAGTTCATTTGGGTTGGGTACGAATACGTGAAAAGAACTATGATGTACCAGCCAATACTAAAAGGTGGGAGAGGTGTTCCATGCATCCCATTAAAATTGGATGTATTACATTACTGTAACATTTGTAACATACTGAACAAGCCTTATATACATAAATGTCAATCTTTAATTCGCTTTTGGCTATCAGGCCCATTGAGACAACTGATCGAGTGGGACAATAGTGTGCCCAGAGCAGAAAGTAGACAGGTGTACTATGCAAAATTGATTGGCGGGAGAAGCATTTAGAATGAAAGGATGAGGACCTTGCTTTGAATCATAAGACCTTGTATAGGACTCTGGTGGAAAAAAACCCACACACAGTGTGTTTGGGTGAAAGAGGCTACATGGAAACAAGCGCAAGGAAAAGATCTGAGCAATGGGTGTAAAGATTTGAATTGGTTGCTGTTACATAGGAAAATTCCTGTGAGGTCGATAATGTATGCTAATAGATTAAGAGACAATAAAAACTGTCCAAGGAGTAGTTGTCAAGAAGAAGAAGAAACAATAGAACATGTAATGTGGGGATGTGTTTTTGCGCAAGAAGTGTGGAGAGAAATGCAGGTGCAATATGAGTGTTTAAATGGCATCCAATATGATGAGCTAATGTTTCTTATAGGGAAGGGGAAAAGAAACGAGGCTAGTGGAAAGATCTACAACAACAACAACAATCTTTATTTATAGAGCACATTTAAAAACCAGCGGTATACCAAAGTGCTTAACATAAGAGACAGAGAAGTAACACGAGTATTATAAGGCCTTAGCAAAGAATCAAATATACTCACAGGTCAATGCCACTAATACACAGGGGTAGTATAAAATGCATATCAAATAAAAACATAATAAAAGCACAAGCCATAAAAAATATGTATGAGGAAAAATAGAGTAAGTCTAAGAAAACCAAAGGTGCGAGCATTAACAAGCAGGAAAGGCGAGATTAAACAAATAGGTTTT